CTGACGTGGGGCTCGAACCCACAAACCATGAAATCATGACCTGAGCCGAAGTCGGACACTCAACTGACTGAGCCATCCAAGCACCCCTATTTTCTGGTCATTTTAAACCAAGTCTTTAATACTCAGCACAGCCCTGTTTTAAGAGTCCTATTTTACAGATGAGGAAACTGGAGCTCAGAGATGTCACATAACTTGTGCAGCATCACACAGTTTGTCATTGAACCTGTGTGTGCCTGATGAGAGTCTGTCCCTATTCTTCTACATCACTCTCCCTCTTGAGTTGTAGTAGGTTAGCCTTTGACCTTTCAGGCAGGGAATACAGGCTGCATGTGGATTTAGACAGTAAAGGAGGAAAAACCACATTTCTGGTACTAGCTGGTGTCTTTTCCCTTTTCTCCTTTTTTTTTTTTTAAATGTTTGCTTATTTTGGAGAGATAAAAGAGAGAGCGTGCATAAGAGTGAGCAGGAGAGGGGCAGAGAGAGAGGGAGACAGAGGATCCAAAGAAGGCTCTGCACTGACAGCAGAGAGCCTGGTGCAGGGCTTGAACTCACCCTGAGATCATGACCTGAGCCCAAGTCAGTCACTTAACTGATTGAGCCACCCAGGTGTCCCTATATTTTTCCCTTTAAAAATCTCCCCACAAAATATAACCTATATGAAAAATAGACAGTATGAGGTGGGAAGGAATTGCTACATGTGAAGGAAAACAAGTATAGGCTTTAAAATTATCTTTAATGGAAAATAAAGTAAAATAAAATAAGCTTTAATGGTCGTGTTATAATGTGGTTATAGCTTGGGTAGTTTAAACTTTCTCTATTTTGTGTCTCAAGCTAAAAGTTTAAAGGTGGTTTGAAAATGTATGAGCAAATTTCCTTCTTTAATCTCATGGAGCTGACTGGTCAGATGCTGTTCTTCTGCAAATATTCAGGTCACAGAGCAAAGGGTGATGACTCCTGTGTGCTCCGTCTACAGCTGGATATCATGCTTTGGCAAGAACATGAGTAATTTATATCCTGTAGAAAGAGAAAAGTATTGTCTTATCCCAACCAGATAGTTTGTTAGCATAACTGTTTGTGTGCATTTTAGTATTCAAATACAGATGTTCCACAATGTTTCCTCTGTGGGAAGCAGCCACTGGTATTTTAGCACAAAAATCTCAAAGAGATTAATCTACAAAGGCAGCGCAAATCTCAGTGGCAAATGTAGCATCTGCTTGAGGTGGGGCCTGTGATTCCCCATAGAGGGTGGGTCTTCAGATTCTCATTAACAGCCCAAAACCATGTTTCAGATCTAAGCTTATTCTACAGGAACAGGAACAAAGACAAGTGATTAATTTGTAATTCACTTAGCTGATAAATATCATCCCGTGTTATTTGCCCAAGGGCTGTAAAACACTGGACTTTATTTCCTGTGGCAACTGATAGGAAAAGAGTTGTTTGGTCATAATGACTGATGTTTTCAGTTGCCGTTACTAGCTTCTGCTGGGTGACCAAGCTTCGCCCAGCCGGCTCACAGTCATAAACCATCCATTCACACCTTAGTGATGCACTCACGGAAAACTTTATGGTTTCTGCAGGACACTCACACTCACTGCTTCCTCTGATCCCATCCTTGCCTTGGGAAGTATGTGCACTGTCCTTATCAATACAATTTACATATAAAAGGAAACATGGGTGAAGAAGGGAAGTGACTTCTCAGGGTTACACAGCCAGGGCTTCTGACTTTAAATCCTGTTCCATCCTCATATTGCATCAAGACTGCCTCTCACATTTCAGAGGCTATGATGTGTGCTCCATAAATTATATTATCCTTTCTAGAGGTGCTGGCTTCCGGGACATCTGCCAGGAAGAGCCGCAGCATGACAGCACTGCCTGGTAACTGGAGGGTGCCCGGCAAGAGCGATACAGCCATCCTTCCCTTGCTTTCCCACACCCCAGAGGGGAAATGCCCCGATACTCCCTTTCCTTATGTTCAGAGAACTTCAGCCATTGAGCTCCTGTGTCTCCATGGCATTTAGAGAAATGAAAAACCAAAGCAGGAGATCCCGGGGCTGTCATTTGCCATAAGCTGGAAGTTCCTAAGAACAGAGACGCCTGGGGTGTTGTGCCTGCCCCAGGCCTTATAAAATCCATCCCCTGCAGTGTTCGAGGGCTCATTGCCTCCAACCACATCTACGATTTGGAATTATCTAGTGAATAATTTATGGTTTTTACATTTGATGGAGGCTTGTGGCTGAGTTTGAAAACTCTTAATTCCTGGTGCACTGCTGGGATCTAGAAATGTCTGGAAAACTGAGGCTAAGAGAAGTTGAGTTCCTAAAGGTCCCAGAGCTAGTAAAGGGCAGTACAGTTTTGAATCAAATGTGTCTGGGTTTGTTTTTTTTTTAAGTTTATTTATTTTGAGAGAGAGAGAGTGCAAGAGAGGGTGGGCCAGAGACAGAAGGAGAGAGAGAGAATCCCAAGCAGGCTCCACATTGCCAGTGCAGAGCCCGTCACAAGGCTTGATCCCATGAACCGTGAGATCATGACTTCAGCCGAAACCAAAAGTTGGGTGCTTCAGCAGCAAAGGCACCCAGATACCCCCAAGTGTGTCTGATTCTAAGTTATACTAGCTCCTTAGTGAAGACTCTGCGTGCGGCCAAGATTTCCAGGTGGGAGGGTTAGTGGACTGTGTCCTGCTCCTTAACCAGGCTTGGGTGGAGAACCCCAGGGAGTGAGGTGGGAGGGCCAGTGACAGAAGAAGAGCAAGGAGGCTCTGAGGCCCTGGGCCTGCAGCAAAGGAGGAAAAGGAGCTCGTTGGGTTGGGGGAAGGGAGTTGCAGGCAGCAGAAAGTCCTGTGTGCTGTGTGCTGATGTGCAGTTCTAACCTCTGGCCCCAAAGAGCTTCCTGAAGTGGGAACCTGAGACCAGGACAGGTCCAAGTAGGGTGCTCTTTGGTGGCATCATTGCTGCTACTGCTAGAATCACACTACTGTGGAATTGTGACTTTTTCTGGAATCATGTTTGCTCTGCTCTACTCAGAAAAAAGCCAAAAAAGTGAATCTCCAAGTATTTATTTCCCCTCTGTTTTTCTATATCTCTTTGTTGAAACATCTGTGAAATGATAAAAGCAACTTAAAATGATATGGAACCCTTTGCAAATACACAATTTGCAAACATCATAAAGATGGTCAGTGTTTCAGTTATTTTGATCAAGAACTGCTATTTCAAAGCCAAAGAAATAGAGTAGCAAATCACTCACTTCTATAAAATATTAATAAAAGTGTTCTGAAGTGCACGAACACATCTCATAAAGAAATACCCTTGCTCCAGGTGGGACAGCCTTGCCTCATTGTTATTCTCCAGGCTTGAAGCCCTAGTGGAAATCATTTGCCTACCTGTGACCAAGCACACCCTTTGTTCTGCCGGGATCACATCTTCCTGTCCGGGATGAGGGCTTATCACGAAGAAAGGAGGACACATGGCTTTAGCTGTAGGCACAGTAAGAAGGAAGGGAAGGCTAGGCAAGTCTCCAACTGGTAGAATCAAAAAGGCGGGTGGGTGATGGGTTAAATAAGGAGGGCGGGATTAAGGAGGGCTCTTGTGATGAGCATACAACCGGGTGTTATATGGAAGTGTCAAGTCACTAACTTCTACACCCGAAACTAATAGTACACTTTATGTTCATTAACTGGAATTTAACTAAAAAATTGTTAACAAGTTAAAAAAATAAAACAAAAAACAAAAGGTTAAAAAAAAAAAAAAGCCCAGTATAACTTCTCTTTTATGTGTCTGCAAAGGAGTTAGACACAGAAGACTAGAATCCAAGACTATATGCACTTGGGGAAGATTCCAGAACCCGTGTAACTCTTTTGTTGTTTTTGTTGCCCCTATTGGGTTCACTCTTCCACACACAGGCCTTTTCTGAAAACCTTTAAGACAAAAAGGGCTCATGTACTTACTTTTCGTCACATGAGAACCACAGGCGAGGCCAGCATTGTGAGGGGACGAGGAAGAGAGCATCTTTGTGTACAGAGGCCGGAGTCAGGAGAGCCTCCAGGCATGAGAAGCAAAACTGGAGGAGCCAGTGTGGGCCTGAAAAATGGTAGTGAGGCCCAGGGGGACACCCCCCTCCCCACCACCAATTAAAGGCATAGGTTGGAACCACCCATTGTTTTTCTCTGGGGTTTGGCCAAATCTAAGCCCTCCATGGTAATCGGAACTGATGAGTCACATTGAGGGAGCAAAGATGAGAGAACAGGACCCTCCAGTGGGTCCTGTCACAAAATGATCAATCATCATCCTAAACACCTCCCTGACCACCAATCTATCGATTTGCTTTGGGAGAAAACATTAGAGAAATGCCCAGGAGCGCCAAGACCCAAGCATGGATTTTTCATGAGTTTCCTGTGCTATGTTACATGTCGTAATTAATTGTGGTTTTCCTCAACATTTTCTTATGGTACAGAGGTTAATGGCTATTAACAGAGCTATAGCAGAATACTAGAAATGTCAATAAGTCTTTAAAAATGAAGGTTATGTGTAACGCAGCCTGTTTCTATGAGATTAGGTGTTAAAAGCTACAGATTAGGGGCTCCTGGGTGGCTCAGTTGGTTGAGCATCTGACTTCAGCTCAGGTCACGATCTCATGGTTTGTGAGTTTGTACTGACAAACAGCTCAGAGCCTGGAGCCTGCTTCAGATTCTTTATTTCTCTCTCTCCGCCCCTCCCCTGCTCATGCTCTGCCTCTCTCTGTCTCTCAAAAAAAAAAAAAAAAAAAGTTAAAAAACAAATTTTAAAAAAAGTTACTGATTAAATTATAGTTGTTTTTTTGTTAGGAACTTGCTGTTTGGATGAGCTCTTTTTCAGTTCTGCACAGGTGTGCAGCCCACTGATAGAAACACCATTAGGAGTTGAGTTGGATGGTCACAGACAAAGCCTGAACATTTGATCTGCTAAAACAAGCCAGAGCCACTTTCTGATGTGCCTTTCATTTCTCTGCCTTATCCTTTCTCCCTCCAGGCAGCTTCCTCAGCCCTGAGCAGTCTGGGCCACGTGTACACAGCCATTGGTGACTACCCCAATGCACTGGCCAGTCACAAGCAGTGTGTTCTTCTTGCCAAGCAATCCAAAGATGAGCTTTCGGAGGCCCGAGAACTCGGCAACATGGGAGCCGTGTATATTGCCATGGGTGACTTCGAGAATGCTGTGCAGTGCCACGAGCAGCATCTGAAGATAGCCAAGGACCTGGGGAACAAGCGAGAGGAGGCCCGGGCCTACAGCAACCTGGGCAGCGCCTATCACTACAGGAGGAACTTTGACAAGGCCATGTCTTACCACAACTATGTGCTGGAGCTGGCGCAGGAGCTGGCGGAGAAGGCCATCGAGATGCGGGCCTACGCTGGCCTGGGCCATGCCGCCAGGTGCATGCAGGATTTGGAGAGAGCTAAACAGTACCACGAGCAGCAGCTGGGCATTGCCGAGGATCTCAAGGACCGCGCCGCAGAGGGGCGAGCGTCCTCCAATCTGGGTAAGGACAGGATTGCTTGCAGGACTTCAGGGTCAGTGCCATGGGGCTGGAAATAGCTGAGGTAGCTCACTGTCCCTTACAGGAATCTGTATGTTTATATGCAAAGGACTCTCCTCATTGTGTGTGCTGTGTATTTCCTTTAGACATATTTCCTTGGAGTCTGCCTGCTCTAAGTCACACAATCCTTCTTGCCACCGCAGTGCTGCAAGGATTAGAATGCTGAATACTGGAAAAGCAAAACACCCCAACCTTGTAATCTGTTTAGAGAGAAGAGCAACCAGATTTATCTAATTAGAGAGAAAGGGAATGAAATCAGGATGTAAAAGCCATGTTTGGTGTAAATGAAAGAGAAGCTGCTAGAAAGTCATCAATGGAAGGGAATTTGGAAGAATTTTGTTTAAAGGGATTTCTTTACTTGATGACTTTAATTTTTAATTTAAAAATGCCACAGGAAGCGTAGTTTTTCCTCAAAAGTACGTGTATTCAGAAATGCCATTGCTAGTTTTAGTATAAATGCAAACTGTTTTTGAAAGATCTATTTAAATTAGTTAGATTTGCAGTCGCTGTTTGATAAAACTTGGTTATAATTAAGACATAAATTTGGTGGAATTTATATGTCCTGGTGAGAAACTATAAGTATTGGTAACTGGCTGCTTTTAGAAGATACTGTTATCTTGTTTCTACTCAAACAGATGTCAGTACACAATGAGTGGAACAGATGTGTTTGCAAGGATGAGCTGAACTCATTCCTGAGTCCCATTTCTCGTTCTTTGTCCGCATGGACTCAGCGGGGAGAGGACAGGGAGCGGACCTTATTGCTGTTAGTGTATGCTTATCAGGTGTAGAAGCAGCAGAATGTAAGACTCGGCCCCCTTTTCGTAGGACCCACAAAACCAAGGTGCCCCCTTGTCTATTTATATAATTTTAGTACTCCTCCTTCGCCTCTACCTCAGCTTATTGCAACCATATGTCTCATGAATATAGTTGTTAGAAAATGTCTGGCAGATTCCCCAGAGATTGCTCTGGAGATCGAGATCCGAATGAGAATCTAGAGAGTCCAATGAGAACTGTAGAAATAAGCTCTTGGCATTATATATTCATTCAATAGATTACACGTATTTGTTGAATCATCATGTGCTGAATCCTGGAATAGTTGCCCTAAGGAATAGAGATATTAAATAACAAACTTCGCCTTCAAAGAGCGTACAATTTAGTTGGGAAAATAAATAGGACAAATACATAGGACAACAGTGGCTTCTCTACAAGGCAGTATTAGTGATGTGGCCTTGCCATGAAATTCCAAGAAGGAAGACCCACGAGGGCTGGGAATAGCCTGGGAGCTTCTTGGAGGAGATTAGACCCATTTAGACCTTGAAGAATAGGTGAGATTTGGCCAGGAACGAGACGGTACTGATGGAAAGGGATATGTGAAAGAATGGATCGGCATATCTGAAGGACGGTGGCAGAATGCCCTTCAGGAATGCTCTGGAGGATGGCAGATTAGTATGAAAACTGGGCAAGAGATAGGCCGGCAGAAACTCCTGAAGGTTTGGAAATGTAGGAATTGAATGAAGGCAAGTCACTGGCACGTAGATTGGATAGATTGGAGGGCTCAGGACCCGGAGTTCAGAAGGCTGTGTGTTTTGACCATTCAGATTTTCTTTATCATCTTGTGTCTTATCAGTTTTGATAAGTTGTGTTTTCCAGAGACTCTACTCATTTCATCTAAGTGTTGAATTGAGTGACATGAAGTTGTTTATAATATTTTCTTATTTTCCTTTTAGTGCTTGTAGGCTATCTAGTGAGGTGCCCTCTTTCCATTTTGTTATTGGTAGTTTGTGTTTTGCACCTGCAAACCACCTTACCCCTCTCCTTTTCTGGATCATTCTACTTAGAGATTTGTCAATCTTCTTGATCTTGTTAAAGAACTGATTTTTGCTTTTGTTATTTTTTTTTATTGCTTGTCTCTTTTCTATTTCACTTATTTCTGGTCTCCTTTTTATCATTTTCTTCTTACTACTTACTTGGCTAGCTTCTCAAAGTCAAACCTCAGGTAATCTTGATCTTTTTTGTTTTGTTTTATTTATTTCTAGGAGAGAGAGAGAGAGAGAGACAGCGTGAGCAGGGGAGGGTCAGAGAGAGGGAGTCACAGACTGAAACAGGTTCCAGGCTCTGAGCTGGCAGTCAGCACAGAGCCCGATTCAGGGCTCGAACCCACAAACCGCGAGACCATGACCTAAGCGAAAGTTGGACACCCAACCGACTAAGCCACCCAGGCGCCCCGATCTTGATCTTTTTAATACAAGCATTTAAAAATATAAAATTTTCTCTACACACTGCTTTACCTGCATCTAATAAGTTTTGCGGTATTATGTTTTTATCTTCACTGAGCTTAGCATATTTTCTAAGATCATTTGTGATTTCTCTTTACCTCCTAGAAGGGTTACTTAATTTTAAATATTTTGGATTATCTGTTTCTCCATTTGCCTCTGTGAAACATGACTTCATAGACTTTGAAGTTCTGTCATTGGACAAATGTTCATTTGTGTGTTTTGTCTTCCTGACAGACTGGCCCTTTTGTCATCATGAAATGTATCTTTTTTTGTCAATGGTCATACCTTTTTTCTTGAAGTCTACTTTATCTGATACAGATACACGCATTCCTACCTTCGTATACTTAATTTTGGATGGTTTATCTTTTTCCATCTCTTTACTTTCTATTTAATCTGTGTCTTTATATTTAGTTTGTTAACTCCAGATAACATCTAGTTTGATTTTGCTTTTTTATTGATTTTGACAAATAAGGCCTCTTATTCAAAGAATTTCACCCATTTAGCATTAAATGTCGTTACTGATGTTATATTTAGGTCTGTCATTTTACTGTTGGTTTTCTGTTCTTCCTTTCCTACCATCTGTGGTTAATTTAATCAGATTGGTTTTATATTAACTTGTCTATTTGGTTTTTAGCTCTACCCCTCTGCATTTATTTTAGTGATTGCTCTAGCGTTGCATTATATTATCCTTAAATTTTCACAATCTACTTTGAGCTAATACCATACCACTTCCCTTAAAATATAAGTACCTTACAACTTTATAAACCCATTGATTCCTTACTCCCTGTTCTTTGTGTTAATAGTTGTCACATATAGTTGTGTTATATATATGTCACATATATATTACTATGTTTAAATTCTTTTAAACTTCACTATGCAATGTGTTTTTTTGTTCTGTACAGTTCTATTAAAGAATTAAGAGGAAAAATGTTTTCTGTTTACCCACTTATTTATCATTTACGGTACTTGCAGTCATTCCTAGAGATCTGAGTTTCCATCTGGTATCATTTATCTTCAGTCTAAAGAACTTCATGTAGCATTTCTTATAGTGCAGGTGTGCTAGTGATGAATTCTTTTCATTTTTACTTTAAAATGTCTTTATCACCTTTGTTCTTGAAGGGTATTTTTGGTGGATACAGAATTCTAGGTTGATGGACTTTTTAATAAAGCAGTTTAAAGTAGTCTTTCTATTGTTTTTTGGTAGCTATTATTTTGATCATATGTCAGTAGAATTGAAAGTACATAGAGCACATGCTAATTCCTTCTTGATTGCTTTAAAGATTTTCTCTAACTTCGATTTTTACCAGGTTAGCTGCAATATGCCTAAACGTGGATTTCATTGTATTTTTCCTCCCTCTGGTACTTTGAGCTTTAGAATCTGCAAATACAGACCTTTCCCCAAACTTAGGGAATTTTTACCCATTATTTTTTAAAATGTTTCTTCTTGCCCATTCCCTCTCTCCTTTGTTTATGAGACTCTGCATTACTCTTAAGTCTTTCAATATTGTGCTGTATATTACTGAGGGTCTGTTCACATTTTAAATCTTTTTTTCTCTATTTTCTTCATATTTGAAAATTTCTGTTAATCTGTCTTTAAGTTCACTGACTCCTTATTCTGTCATCTCCAATCTGCGTTTAAACCCATCCACTGATGGCAAGTTTGGGATTCCCCAAGACTACTGTCACTTCAGACATTAACTGTGAGCATGGGCCTCTGAGACCACCGTCAGGTTCAGTAATTCACTACAAAGACTCCCAGAATTCACTGAAAGCTGGTATATCCATGGGTCTGGTTTATTATAATGCAAGGATTCTGATTAAAGTCAGCCAAAGGAAGAAGCACATGGCAGGAGAGGTCTAAGCAGGAAGCTCTCAGTAGTCTTCTCCCAGTGGAGTCACAGAGAGAGCCAATGCCTGAAAGCAACAGTATCTGACAATATGCACAGACTGCTATCAATATCGAGAGGCTCACTTGAGTCTTGGTGTCCAGATTTGGATATTGGTCACATAGATATGGTTGACCACCTGCTTAGGTGACTTTCATTTCCAACCCTCCAAGGTTGAGCTGAAGGCCCCCACTGTAAATCACACGGTTAGCAATAACTATTTGGTCTGTTCAACACCCTCGGGTAAACAAAGACACTCTCAGGCAGGGCATTCTGAAGGCTGAGATTGCTCTCCAGAGCTGAGGGTAAAGTCCAGACCTCTCTTTGGGCAAGGGTAATTCTTTACTGCATGAGTGAATTTTTTATCAGACACATACTGTATTTTTAGCTTTAGAATTTCCATTTGTTTCTATTAATAAACATTTCAGTTTTTCTGTTAAGATTTATATGTTTGTTCATGACATCTATTTTTCCTTTACATAGCCAAGCCTATTTATTACAAAAGTTTTTAAAACTTCATTTGCTAAGTCTATTTGGGTCACCTCAGAGTTTGACCCTATAATTTTTTAAATCCAGTATAGTTAACATACAGGGTTATATTCGTTTCAGGTGTACAATATAGTGATTCAACAATTCTATGCATTACTCCTGCTCATCATGCTGAATATACTCTTAATCCCCTTCACCTGTTTCACCCACCTCCCCACCTGCCTGCCCCCTGGTAACCATCAGTTTGTTCTCTATAGTTAAGAGTCTGTTTTAGAGGTAGACCCTATCAACT